AACAACAACAACAAAAGAGGCCTTCATCAAGTGGGGCTGACCTCTTGAGTAATAGGACCCTGATTCATTTGCAAAATCTTACAGGCAGTCAGATGCAGGTGTTAGCTCGTTAACCTCCTTAAATATTCTGAAGTCTGTGGTTGTCCTGGTTAACTTTAATTGACTAAATCTCACAGGCAGTTGGAGAGATTTATAGGTGTTAGCTCATTGAGTTCTTAAATATTCTACCTCTCTCCCTTTTCTCCTCCCTTTGGGCCTGCCCTTAGGGCAGGCAGCCCTCCTGTTCTGCCTTCCTGCCTAAAAGAACATGTTGGCGATTGTAAGGATGATGAAGAACAAAGTTTTGCTCTGTTGTACATAAGGTCACCTGGAGTCAGCTCAAGGGTAGCTAATAACAAAATATATATGGTTTGAAACTGCACTGGGGCCACATGAGTGGCTCTCTCCCTCAGAAAGAGAAGATGTCTGGAATCCTTGACAAGCCCCTAACATGGCCTGGAGATGATGTAGACTGCTACCCAGGAGGGCAGAGCCAGTGTCTGGTGAGAAGGGGCTGTCAATGGGACAAAGGATGGTGACACAGGCCTGGGCAGGTGGCTTGGGCACTCAAGAAAGGCCTTCATGCCCCATCAAAATATGTTGTTGGTTTTAATCAGTTGACCATTTTTGAAAGGCCAGTGGAGCCCAGTTACGACTGTGTGCAGAGATGACTGGGCTGAGAGAGAGGAGGCAGATTGGAGATGGGAGAAGTCAGGAGAGAGGGGGCCTGGGCTGGGTGGAGGGTGGAAATGGACTGGGGGGCTGATTGAGAGAAGAAGAAAATGGTAAGGGAGGTGGGGTGGATCAGGAGTGAGGGTGGATCAGGTGTCCCAAGTCTGGGCCAATAGATGCAGGCATACACACAGAATAGCAGCTCTGTTTCAGGCCTAGGGGAGGGACAGGAAGTCTGAGACTCAGGCCCAGGATGCTGCCATGTTGGGGATACCCAGATATTGGGGAGCTATGACTTCTCACCCTGGATATCTGAGCTGCAAGGTATTCATTCCTTCTGACTTACTTTCTTGACATGATTATAGCACCAAGCACTTCTTCGGGGTTGTGGCTGGGGGGCATTTGAAGTCTACTAGCTCCAGCCACTGACAAAACTCCCCCTTCTGACTAGGCAGAGTC